GACGACCCCAAACCATGCCAAATATTCATTTGATGTTGTTCTCTAACGCTGCGGTTTGCAAGGTTGGCGACCTTAAACACACTATTTCAACGCAGATAACTCTTAGTGGTAAACATGTACAAACATATGGGTTTTTCTATGCAGTTTTTCGTTAGTGAGAAAAAGCAATGAAGAAGCTCATGCTGTTTTTCAAGACTTAACTTCCTTACCCCTTTTTTCGCACCCTTTTTTTAATTCTTTATTTAATTTTTTTTTAATACAATTACATGACACTTAATATAGTCGCATGAAAAGAAACTCGACGAAATGGATTCGAATAAGGAACTAAGAACAATAACTGAGAGGAAGTTTTAAACAATAAAGGAACACTTTTTGTTCCTCTTGTGTTTAACTATTTACTTGAATGTTTGACAATCTTATATTTCCGCATCAAGGAAGGCCGCTTTTGTTATTCTATTTTAATCCCAACTTCTAATACCGCTTCGACCTCCTAACCGGCACATTTGACCGAAAATGGCAAACATATCATTACGTCTTATTCTCTGTGTTTATCACAGACCATTTTTCGCTCTTGCCTTAAACCATTTTGCACGCTAATTTGGCATAAATTTTTGTCTTTACCTTTCAGTTTCGGCTCAAACTTGAAAACCCTGTACGGTCTAGTTCCTTCTAGATTTCCCATTCGCTTTATTTCAACGATCTCTTGCATCTTTCGAAGAGCACAGCGAAATCTCACCTTCCAGGTGGATGGGTCCGGTTGGTCTCCGGGGCGATACTTCCCTGTGTGGCTTGCCCATCGTTTGAACAATTCTGCATGGGTTTCAAGTTCGAATTCGGGCTTATCAACCCGCGCCCAAGGAACCTTGAAGATCCCTATATCTTTATCGATCCACTCTAAGCCATCGATATCTCCACTTTCGATCTGCTGCTCCAGCCAAGGCGTAAACCGCTGCCGCTGTTTCGCCACTCCACGAACGAAGGATCGATCTTGTTCTAAGGATGAAACTTGCGACTTGGATAGCATTTTCCTATAAATCTTGCAGTTTCGTGCGATTGTCGAGTTATTTCTGAAATACCACTCAGTTCAAACTTTACTCTTCTAATCGCCTTTCGCTTTCTTGCTTGGAACTTTCACTGCGGGATGAGCTGACGGATATAGCCACTTTTGAAACGCAGGAGCCAGCGTTGAGCTTCTAGACTTTGAACTTGTTTTAACGACGAAGTTATTTGTTCGGTTGCCCTTTTAAAGTTAACGCCCATGTATGTCATAAACACCGCTATAATAAGCCCCTAACATGTGATTGGTCTCTGCAAATCGAGGTTGGTAATTCAGTGTGAGGAACTAATTTCATACATACGAAAGAAACACAAAATAAACTTCTGTATAAGATGACTAGTGAGGGACAGTGATAAGTCAGTCGTGTATTGGCGAGATCACAGCATTCTCGCCACTGGTTCTATCATATTGATTTCTTCTCCATTAATTTGCCATCCCAGGCCATGTTCAGTTAACTCATGAATGGATTAAAGCACACGCCAATGTTGTGTTTTCTTAATTTATCTGTCATCGTCATCCCCAAAAATTAATTATGTTTATTGAAAGTCAAATGACGAATTCAAACACGTTGTGAAATTTAATGGTATAGATCAATCAATTGACCGATTTTGGTCTTCCCACATCGATTCTATTGTATTAAGGTTAAAAGTGTCGGGCCATAAAAACTTCGCTTTGAATTTTATAGCAATACGAAAGCATTATGCATTCATATGACAAAGAGCACTATATTGAAATCTTCTTCCTTCTTTAATTATTCGGGTTTGTAAATCTGTAGCCGATCGCTTGCACGTCGGCTTTATTAAATGTTGGTAAATAAGCCTTTTTCTTCCTATTGAGCCTCAGAATGAAGGCCTACGGAGAACGATTCTCTCAAAAGGACTATGTGACGAGGATATTGCTGTCAGTTTAAGACCAGTATGTGCTAAAGAATTCAACTGATGAAGACACGTTTTTGCTTTTTTAAAAGATAGCAAATAGCGTGTTAAGCAAAGTAAAAATACAAGGCAATGGCAATCTCTCTCCAGTGGGAGCGGGGGCGGGGGAGGGGTGGCTGACTAGTGCATGTGCGCCTTCAAGAGAATGTATACACATCTCGAAGAGAGAGAGAGAGATTTCATTTTATTCGGGCAAGGACTCCATTGGCTCTTGAAGGGTTGAAATTATTGCAGTTTTTTGAGCACGTACCTGATTTCCGAAGTTTATTATGCACAATGTCTATTAAAAATAATGATAATAATAATCTTTATTGAGATGACTTTTTCATATAAAATATGGTTTTCGAAAAGGATCTCAAGGATGTCATATTAATAACTACCATAACAGAAACAAGAACTGCACCAAACCAAAGAACGCATGATAAAGTTTTTACCCCCTTTTCCTATAGAGACTATAGCTAAATTTACCCGCAGGCTGCTTCTAGAATCGTAGGCTTGCAGATTAGTGACTTTCCAAAGCGATTAAGGTGCAAAAAGTACATTTTCACATAATAGAAATAGGAATGAAATTGGCTTGCATACCAAAAAGATTTATAATGACCATAACTATTTAGTTAGGCTACACGTTTACGTCACTACAGATGCACTTAATTGCTCAGAAAGAGAAAATTGTAATGACGATATCGAACAAACAAGCAAAAACAACATTATCATTTGCGGTAAGGTATGATACGTAAGATTGAGTCAAATTGAGTTGAGAGAAGTTAAATTGGACAGATCTCCTGAAGATGTTTTCAGTTTCATTCTTTTGTTGACCTTCAGATTCTTGAATTTCAAGAGCGTGCCAGTTTTCTACAATTTACTGATTTCGTTCATTTTTCAATGACAGCTGTATTGCAATTAATTGGTGCAGTCCTGTTCAAAATAGACGTAGATCATGTAGCAGCTGCGATGCAGTCTAGGGTATCTTTCATTTTCCTCCGCTTTTGTTCAAACAAGGAAGAGGAAAATGAAAGCTTAGTATGAATAATCCTCCTAACCTAATTAATATTCCCAGCGGTGCAAGAATTCCGAGCCAAATTACACGCCTTTTGTATGAGCTTGCGAAGTCTTTCAACGAGGAAATTTGTGAGTCCTGAAAAGTGAGCAACAGTTCGGAAATACAATAGAGTGGTATATTTCATTGTCACCGGAAAAAATTGTGTAAAGAGCTTGCAAAACAACAGCAGAAAGGGGAAAAAACAAGTAAGCTCGACTTGTACCTTCATGGAGCTGATAGTTTGTCTTTTGTTAAGATTATTCTTCTTCCGCTAGTAAATGTAAATTGACTATCAACGACTCTCTTTAGAAAGCTGGTTTACTAATTTATTACCACTGAATCGTAGCCAACAGTTACCCGCACCGTACAAAGGACTTATTGACGGAATCAAGCAAAACTAACTACGAGAGAACGACTGGACAACTGACAATCTGACTTGACTAACAAATGACTATTTAACTGTGACAACAGACGGATCGAAACGCACCAATGACATTACGAGTCTTCATAGCCAATAACATCACGGTTTTACGGACAGACGACTAATCACATGGCGGCGTAATTGACCAATTAATCAGGTCAATAACCAGAGTTTAATAATATAGCATCAACTGACGCGATACAACTCGCTTTGACTCTAAAGATGACTACTGCCAATGCTACTGCACAGGTTGTCGAAACGCCAGTCACTGTCAACAATAACAGTTCTATATTCAGGACTATGCATGTTAACCCGATTTCAGATTTTTCATTTATTGCACTATTTCAATAGTTTACTAAAAAGTAATTGCGATCATACTTAAACTACTTCAGAACATATAGTTAAGAATACTTTATGTGATTCCTTTTTTACCTCACATCCTTACCCTCATTATAATTTTTACTAATAGCTTTTAAACGGCGACATCGTTTTCATTCAACATGTCATTTCACGATTTTAGCCTTTTGGAAATATCTAAAATATAAGACTAATAAAATTGTGAATGTCTCAGTGTGATTATAATAAACACAATACCAGGAGGAAAGTGCTAATTAGTTGTACGGTATTTGCGCACTCGTTTTCAAAGCAAATTTCACTCTTTCGCGGCGCAAACTCGTCACGTTTCTGATACGTCTGATACATAAGCACGCCAAAAGTCGCCGGGGTAATGAGCCCCGCCCTGATCCCTTGCAAAAGTACATGACAGGACAAACGGCTACGCGCCACAATCGGACAAGTTAAAAGACCTAAGACACATTAACTACTACAACTGACTACTGAAAGCTAAGTGAATAAACAGACAAAGGACCTGGGGTACTACCCACGACACTCATGGCGCGCTGTGGGATGGAAGAAAAGGGCCAGGCAGCGACCCGCAGGGGCACAGCCCATAAAGTTTCATATATATTGGCTTACGCCTAAATTATTTCTACATTTTGGGGTTTTACCTGCCAGTAGCCGTACGGCACTTGATTTAAGGGGACACCTTGAAAAACTCTACAATCGAACAAAAGACTGCCCGCCGTTGGAAGAGCTCTTGGGGAATTACAATTTTTGTGTGATGTGGGCGAAAACCTTGCTGACAGTTTAGCTTTTTAAAAGAAAAGGACCAGGAAAAAGGGAAATAATGGCCGAGACAAAGGTAGAAGAGGAATTGGGGAACAGGGTACAACCATATTATTTATTGCGTTTTTTTATTATTATTTTCATCCATTCATTTATTTCTAAAGAAAATATGGGCTGAAGCAATACAGCTGTGTACATTGTTAAGCCTTATCTCTTAGTTCAAAATGCCCTTAAACTGATCAATGGGATCGTTATGTGTATACGGACTTTCATAAACAGAAGACAAACGAGGACTGATTCTCTGTAGAGAAGGTCATTGCAGCAAGCCGATAGGATCTCTTTTTATAAACAGCATGCTCAGATCCGGAGACGCAAAAACAGGACAACCTATCCACCTGTTACACTACACACGACGTCTGCATGTCAGCAACGTGGGAAAACTAACGTTTTCTGGTCAGAATACTTCATTAATTATGTTAGCTTTTGTGACTACATCATGTATAAAGTAATTTATCTTAATAGGTAAGAATCGGAGTATGCTCTCTGTGAGAGGGTAAAACTCCTTTCAAGTGATCCAGCCGTCCGAACGGTTAAATGATGTGACATCGACCTTTATAATAAAAGCATATCGTCCAAATGAAACTAGTAGTTATCTCTCAAACCTTTACCAGAGTAAAATATCAAGAAATTATATGGCCCCTGTATAGACATCTGACTAAGGGAATGACTGAAGACACGACCTGCAAAGAAAGTAAGCAACCGTTACTCTCCGTTCAAATTCATTCAAGCCGGCGTGTAGAACCGGTTGCGTCCTCGCGACCAAGAAGAAGCAAATAGTGCATTTAGATATTACAAGGAAAGAAGGAGAAATTTCATTTAGTAGTCGTCTGATTACTTTCTGGGCATGTAAGGATTTATAAGTACTATAACGCGTATGGATTGTGGTGGGGAGTCTTTTCTTTTTTTTTTCTTTCTGAGACTAAGTCCGAAAGGCCTAGGGTTAGAAGTAGGGCTGGGGTTAGGGTTATTGAATAATAATTGAATAATTAAGCCTAAAATACATGTACAATCTAAAACTAGATGGATTCTGGCATCATTTAAGAGGAAATAAAAAAACTGGTGAAATTTTCAATTTTCCTTTAAAATCCAACCGTAATGCCCCCTTAAAGAGAGTGATCTTATCATATGAATCTCTTCCTGTGAATCTTGAGGGGTGACGAGGCTCACTCCCCTTGAGATCATGCTGCAGCCTTAAACGATCTAAACATGATAATAAGAGAACTCGATTGTCAACACCAACAATACCTATATATACAATACCAATTTTTAGAATGTTAATTATGGATAATGATGCTGCACGTTAAACCAATGGATGCTTCTAGAACCGCTTTGAAGGCGCCACCAGAAATTATTGTTTAGTAGCTTTCAATTGAATAGTCAGACTATAATTTTACCCATAGACTCAAATCACTCAAAGGTTAAAAGCACACAGACCATAGGAAGGTATTGCTCAGAAGCATTTACTGATTTGAACTGTCCCACTTTAGATTTTATCCACAGTCTCAGTTCACCACCTCGTACAGCGTATACAGCGTGAATAGTGTCACAGTACAGTACTGTTCAGTATCTTTCTTAGAGTCATACTTTGAGATTTCATCCACAGACTTAAAAGTTACAACTACCCAGTACAGCGTAATAAACAGTACCACAGAAAAATGCCGCTCAGGTTTAACTCACTTCAGAATTTCATTCACAGGGACTCAAAACATTCACCGACTGTGCAGCGTAATAAACAGCATCACATATACAGAAAAGTACTGCACAAAACCGGGTAAGCCTTTATTTGAATGGTCACACCTTAGGGTATACAGACTAGAATATAAAGATAGAACTATCTTGCACACCATGATACAGTAAATCTCGCGAGTAAGTTAGGCTAAAATTTGCAACCTTTTAAGCCTAAAATTTGAAACAGGTTCATATTTTCTAAAATCCATTACTCGGAATTCTGTACACTTAGGTTTAGGCAACTAAGATAAGATGAGAGATTCAGGGTCCTCTCTGGAGACATACGCGCCTTATCACTCCAACTGCTATGACAGTATTATGGTTTGCAAATTTTATATAAAGAATAAGCTGAATACCACTAAATCAATATTAGCTTTTAGTACTTGTATTTTTTTTTTAGAAAAAAAACTGAAGAACCTATTTACCTAGATAGCCTAAATTTGTACTAATTCAGTACCATGTAAGAACCTGTTTAGGCTAACTTGGGAAAATGCTGTTTCTTACTCACAGGTGTGTACTGTAGCATGTTATATTAACTACGTTGAATCTCCAACCACAAAGATCATTCATTAAACGACCATCTAATCATTCTTGCTACCAACCTTTTTTTGAAAAGAAAAAAGTTTTCATTTCATAAATACCTAATTACCAATCTTATCCAGACTGTTCTTTCCTTGAAGGGTTGCCTTTTTGTGGAGAAAGGGAAATGGTCAACCCGAAAACAAGTGTATTGTACCTCTAGTTAATGTGTTCAAGCAGAAAAAAGACCCCTTAGACGATATTTAGACAATTCTTATTCATCGAATGACGCGTGCCGGCATGGATTTTTATTTTTATGAAAGCGAAATACATGCTGACCGCGCGGCACGTTCCATGAGGGAATTAATTCCATGATAATTCTACGACGGTTGCTGGTTCAAGGTCATCGTTTGTACAAAAAATGGAAACATCCACTCTTGTTTCAAACATTTTGTATTATGGAAAGGATGTGAAACTGACGTGACTGAGATTATTTTCTGTCTGGTTCAAATCGTCCTTTCTGTTGTAAGAGAGATAAGCCTTGGACAGTCCTGCGTGCCCCTTTGTGTCATGCCCATAAATTAATTAAGTAATTTTCTTTGATTTTCGTTCGTTCTAATAATTGACGAAAACTCAAACATCCCGAAATAACTGCTATTTGTAAGTTTCTGTGTGAGATAACTATCGATTATGATTCATTTCTTCGACAGATTGAAAAATTTTATACACCATCCATCACTTCATCAGCACCGCACGGGAGAGTACGACTCAGATTAATTTGAACGGAAAAATGTTTGTAAGGATTTCACATCGACCAAAAACATAGAGCCGTTTTTTAGACGTTATAAAAATACTAAAAACACGTGCACACATTTGAATGGTGACATTTTATTGTTCCATCCACAAATTAAAAACTATTAGTGCTGCACATACCTGGTACAGCATAACAAAGAGAACTTCCGGAAAGTACGTGCACGCATGATATTGATTTACGAAGGTCGTAAATGAGTCACGCTCTAAATTCATATAACAGAAAACGCGAAAGCCGACCACCTAACTGTAAGACAACCGGTGAGACGAGGGGACAAGTGGGATATGAACAAATTCAAATTGAATCAGAGCAACTTACTATATATTTTTCTGATTTTGCGCCCTGCCTGCTCTAGCGAATGATATAATAATAATAATAATAATAATAATAATAATAATAATAATAATAATAATAATAATAATAACATGTTTAAACAGGATGACCATTTCATATAGTAGGCTGAAACCGACTTAAACTACAGAAATGTCCCATATGGCAGCCATGTCTGAAAAACAACCGCTGCCAGCAGAATTTGATACTGCGTCCGTTTTGTGAAGTAACTAAGTAGATTTCTGCTACTCTCAAATAAGGCAAGAATTCGATTAATGGACCCATAAAAGTTTAACTTTCTATTCATGTTTGTTTTTCTCCTGTCAGATTATACGGGAAAAGACAAGTTGTAGTAGAAAGTGGTTCTTTTGAATTTGTTTTTAAGGTGGCTGAACACAGTTTTGGCAGTTTGTGAGTGTATGTCATTTGCCAAATCATGGCAAGAGAAAGGTTGCAGCTCACAAGCTGAAACTTGGCAGGTGAAAAATATACTGATGAAAAATTGTGATTGACAGGTAAAATTTGACGTTTTCGTAGTTTCCATGGCAACATGAACGATTGAATACAACCTTAAAATTTCACTTTTGTTCAGTTTACATAAAATTCGCTCATTAGATTTTCATATAAACTTGCACACAGCTTACTGTAACTAATCATTACCATTTGAAACTTATTTGATCAAATTTTAACAGACGGACTTTAAGATAATCAATAATATAATTGTACTGTAATTATTAAATGTGTCACGAAATTCGTCTGTTCAACTTCTATTTTAAAGTTTTCATTATCTAAAATACGATAAAAGTAAAAATTCTGCCAAATATCACAAAATTTTAATGAGTAGATTTTGAGAAATCGTCTTCTGTGTATCATTGCTTTTTCGCCGTCATGTTTGTTGTCTAATTAGAAACACGCGCGGTCACGCGAGTTACCGCTGACCGCCCGCAAAACTGTGTTCAACCACCTTAATCATTTCAGTAGAACGTAACTCAGAAATGACCGTTAACGAAGTTATTGGTAGCACAGAGTCTTGGTTAAGAAAAACGACCAGTTCATTGCCGCAATGTATTTGTATGAGAGGTTATTGTACATACCACCACAAGTCATGGAAATGCAATGTATACAACAAACAAACATTCTTTTGATCTTACATTTGGATTGATATGAAGTCTTAAAAGTTTGCGCCAACTAGAGATGTATTGTACTGGCATTTAAGAGCTTTGCGCTTTATCAAATCTACATTTCTAACCTCGGAGTCTTTTAGCATTTCAACTGATTGAACGAGAAGTTCAAGCGACTCTTGAAATGTCCTGGGCTCAAACGATCCCGTGAATGAGAACCGAAGAATTCAAGTTGAAATCTGCTGCAGATTGATCTCATGGCGTGTGGCAAATACTTTGTCTCTTTAATTTACCACTATCGATAGTTGATATTGATGGTTGACCGCTTTTCCTTAAAATCGCATTTATACAATATAAATGTGTCATTTGTCTCCTCGTCTAATTCGACATTGACTCTGTCTATGTGAGGTAAAGTTTTGTTCGTTCTTTGCAGCGATACGTTTATGGTTGCGCCAGACTTAATGCAAAATTGTTGACTTGAAGAAACAAATTGCTCTGTGATCTTGTGATATTAAAGAGAGTATGCCTTCCCTGAATGCGCACCATACCACTCTGGGTCCACTCTTTACGAATTTCCCTGGTCGTTATTTTATTAGCTTAAGCTCTGAGTTCCTTGGCAACTATTTGCAAACAAGACATGCTTTGTTTGTATAGGCCGAAAGAAACATGGAGACAGAGAATGGAAAACGCTAACATCTTTCTCTATAACTATAATATCATTACGTCGCTAACAGTGAGCTATTACAAACTCAACAGTTATCGCATTCCGGTAACATCTTTGGTTTCCAAATCCCTTACCTCTTCCTCGAACTGGCTGCATTTTGTAAATCTTGTAAGCATCCTTTCCACCGGGA